CAAATTCCCTAATGTATAATTTTCATTTATCGCAAACAAATCACAATCCACGCCCACATATTATCACATATTCTCAAATTCACAAAATGCCTAATTTTCGTAAAGCGTAAACTTCACACGTCCACGACCATATCAAATTTGATTTTAGAAGTGGCCTTAATTTTCCCAATTCACTTTAGCATCCAAGATTTCATCTTTCATCCCAAAATCCAAGAAAAAACCCAGTTTGTTTAATTGCAAAGCAAACCATCCAGGAAAGGAATTACATCAAACACACAATACTCAATTCATACACATAAAATCATTGTAATGATTATGGATTTGTTGACCCAACAAGGAAATGGATGGAATTGGACTCACATTAAACACCTTCTTTTTCTTCTCCATCAACCTAACATTTTTTAGACAGATTCACTGCGCGTTTTGATCGGAACACTGGTGAGAAATGGAAAAAACCGTAAACGAGGAAGATACTTTATAGCGGGAGACAAAAGTGTTCGAACTCTGGTGAGTGAAACAAAGGTGATCGCACTAACAACAATCACCAATCGAATACTAATGTGAACTAACTAAACGATCAAACTCCAATATATGAAGAAAGTGAATACTGTATCTTAAGAGTTTACAAGGTAATTTTTGTTATCAAGAGTTCAAGAATCTAATATTTAAAATCCCCCTTTCAGTTTCAAAGTTGTTCTATTTATAGTGCATTGGCTGATGTGGTGTCCGTTTGATCAGATCCACATGGCTTCATCTCATTGACTGAGTCTTCACATCATTGTCTATCATACAATTAATATATTAAAAACGGGTCAGTCGCCCTATACAATAGGCTGATACATCTGACATTCTTTATTACAAATGTTATATCAATCACTTCTAAAGATTCTCTAAGGGTCTTGTACGAAACAACTTCGGCTTTAGGAGAATTGAGGGCCTCGGTTGGATGAAGCTTTGTGTTGGTTTTCTAAGTGAAGAGCTTCGACGTCTTCCATCTCTTCACGAAGCACCTCAGATTATATGCTTCAAAGTGCTTTGGAGTGAAGGCTTCAGTAATATGACCTCACATTTGACTAGTTAGGTCTTTGTTGACTTTTCTGCCTACGTTCAGTACTACGTGTCACCTTGATTTGGGTCTCGGTGGCAAGGCGTAACACTTTTCTTTCCTCCTTCCCATGGATGCTGCATCCTTGAAATGTAATTGAAATGTACAAACCGTTAAACTATCCTAGATACAATGGATTAGGCCAATTATATATATATTTTTTAAAAAACAAGTGGCCCAAAAGAAAAGGCCACAATTTTTTTTTTAAATTGCCCAATCCACTCTCTTTCACCTTCCTCACACTTCCGTCCTTGAATCCATGCACGACCACTTCAAGTTTCCTCAGTGGCTCCTGACGATGACTGTAAATTTTAGCGAAGCCAGCACGGGCGGCAACGTCCCCTCACCAGGTGCTGACTCCACCATATGTGGTTATGTTTATTGTTTTTTACCAACATGCTTGGGTGTAAAATATTGAATCCTCCTATCATATGAAATTTTTGTATTTCATACTACTACATCCAGTGAGTATATAATAATTGGGATGAGTACAAGCTGTCATTTTCAGAATATGCCACTATGGGTTGGGCGATGCTTCACACCTTCATCGCTAGTGCACTTAAACTGGCCATTTTATTTGACAAATGTTTAAGTTGAAGCATTAATTTGGAAATTAGGGACAAAGACGAACCCAACACTTGGCGAGGGGGCGCAATCGCTCGTGCTAGATCTGTCTGAGTCTTCAATACAGCTGGGCGTGGGGTCACTGTTGTTGTTGCAGAGAGAAGACGAGATGAAAAAGACCATTATTTATGTTTGGGCCCCTTTTTTGCCCTTATGTTTTGGGTTAAGAGAGTTGGACCTTTTAAAAAAATTAGGCCCAATATAAATGAAATAATATCCATTGCATTTACCTTCAATTTCCTGTATTGATTCAAAACTTTTTCTTTTTTTTTTTTTTTTTAAACAAGTTTTATGCAGTTTCTTATACAGTTCAATGGAGACTTTTGGGATAGAGAATTGTTCATTTGGGTGCAAAATAAAAAGATCAGAATTCTTTGTAGTTTTTGTTGCTCATTTGGTGTAACAAAATTGGGTTAGATTCACTTTCCAATTGTTGTGGAATTTTAGGAATTTGGGACAAAATGTCAAATGCTTTGTTTTCATTTTTTGAATCCAGTGGTGTGAAGAGTTGATTCAGTTGCAATGAGACAGATTCATTCATCATACGATTGATTTAGGAGCATCGTTCTTGATTTGTCTTTTTTTTTTTGGATTATTAAATTAGAAGAGATGCATGCTTAAGCTTGCTGGGCAGATTGGAGCTTGCAGAATGACTATGGCTAGAGTGCACTCCAGAAGGCAATTTGCAATAAGTAAGAAAGGACTGCAAACATTATAATACCAATCCGTTGAGTTCTTCTTGTAAGTTCCGATTTTTCATGACTTGAATTTCTTCGACAGAGTCTTTTGAGAATAGAGAATTGTCTGCCATAGCGAGTTTATTGAAAACACATCCAAATGTTGCTTAATAATAGTATCCAGTTCAATATTGCAATATTTTCAAAATATGAGACCCCGTAGAATGAGTTTATCTAAGTTCACCCGTGCTGAACTTTTGTGTTGGGTTCGCCACTGATTAGGGGAATGGCAGAGGACCCAAGCCTTGTAGGAGGAGAAAATTTGTGGAACTGTGATATAACCATTCACTCATATCACGACACTTCAGTCATCGAATGTGTCGCGTTCGAGGTGGAGTCTAATTGCATCTTGGCTGTCTTTTAAGGCTCATGCTTTCAAACCCATTTTTGCCGTTTCAGTGTGTCCGTCACAGAATTGAGCCCACTATTACTACATAAGGCCCATCAATCTTCTTGTGTGGCTCCAATTTAGCCCCTCTCTGAGTCCCTTTTTTGGGCTAAATGTGTTGATAAAAAAAGGAAAAAAAATCATAAATGCATTAGAAATATGAAATAATTCTTTTTGTACCATAATTATTCTAAAATTTAAATTATATTACAGACATCACATAAAATCATCAAAAATACTGGCAACCAAACCTTCTAAATTCCATATACACAAAATGTAACAGAAACTCGTGAATGGCCATTAATCAAGGGAAATTTAATTACAGATGTTGCCTTTTGAAAATAAAATTTGAATTCAATAGCTGGTTGCCTTTCCATATTATTTCATTCTGCATTTTAATTACAGTTGTTGTTTGGCAAATATAAGTCCAAAGATAGTATAAGCGCCAGCCAGTTGCCATAAAGTAACGATGGCTCCTTATGGCTTTGAATTCTAAAAAGTGAGGGAAATACTGCAGTTGAACGGATTTGGCTCAATGAATTGTATACTTTTCAATTCATAAAGGACAAACACATTTTATTTTTTTGTATTGGCACTGTTTTGACTGAAAATGATTCTTGATATGCAATGAAGTTATTGATTAATATATATTACATTACATTACATATTACGTTTCATTTTGTCAATTACGCAAGCGTAAACGTGGATTGGCGGTGTGAACTTATTCGCCATGATTTGATTTAGAAATAATCTATATTGAACTCTCATTGAATTTGCATGACTTAGAAAAAGATTGTAAGGAATCCCACTTTGAAAGTTGAATGAGGATAGACTTTATGCCTCTATGACAATCATTATTCTTTTAATTTTTTAATTTTCTTATAATGTAAACTTTAAATTGCAGTGGTAATAACCATCGTTGATTTCTGTGATATCATTAGTTAACAACTTTAATTTAGCCAACTGTTAAGTATGGCAAATTATAATTTGAATAAAGGTGGATATGGATATTGATGTTTAGAAATATCGAAGATTACATGATGTAATATACACGGTATTCGTAAACAAGTATAAATGTCAATTAGTTTTAACCTTTAGTCTATGTCGTCCAATTACAGTTTCAACTACCCGTTACATTACGTGAAATACGAACACTATGGGAGTCCGATGGAATCTACCGGATCACAAACAAGTGTTTCACCTGCGTGTACATTACGTATACTTAAATTCATCCAAGAATACAACCAATGCAACCTAAAAAGGCATATTCGATTGGTGCTCAAAATATATTAAAAAGAAGATAAGAATACACATTCGACACTTTGTTCTGTTTCCATGGGTAGTCATAGCAGTATAAAAAGTTCCACACATTTCTCTATTCCCTGAAGTGTCTGGAGGTACACATTTGCACCTCACACAACAAGTACCAAAAGGCACTGCTGCACAAATTTGGCCTTGAGTGTAAGCTGCACCTCATAAGTATAGAACTCATAAGTAAGTTGTCAAAAATTGGGTTTTCCTGGTGAAAGTGAAGATAAGGAAAGATTATCATTACATTTTCTGATCGTAATTAAAGCTTGTTTGAAAGGAAAGTAGTTTTCCTCTTCGGACAGAACCTACCAAATCTGCATGCGAAATTTCTTCCTATATTGACGCTACAAAATCTCTCTAAATATTCATTGAATTTCAATGATTTTCTCAGTCCTGCTCGTGAAGAAAACTACTACGGCGGATAATTACTGAATCCGGATCAAAGGTTGTTTTCTTCATCCAGAATTTAATTATTTGGTTTGGTTTCAACAGCTTCGAATTTCATTGCTAGGGTATCTGCCTTACCTTTTCTGGATTGAAGTTAGAATTTCTGTGTAATTTTTCCGCTTTGAATGCTAACCTGTTATTTTGTTGATATTTTCCTTCTTAATTGTAATTTTTGGCCTTTTTTGAGCTAGGAAGAAAATTTTTATTTGGGTTTTTTATCTATAAAAGAAATCTCGTGTAGAAAAAAATTCTAAAATTACATGGTAATCCATTGGATACAATCTTGATTGTAAATTTGGGTGTGTACATGTCTTTTTTATTAGGACAATGCTTGAGGAATCATATTCTCTATTTTGTTGTGTTTATCATACTAAGGCCTAAAGAGCACATGCGAATAACAGAAGTCGAAGAGATCGTGATGGAAAATATTGACAAGGTAAATTATCATTTCATCTTCTAGTAACAAGCATATTAAGAGTTTAGAAAGTAAATCTTCTCATGCTCAGCAGTCGCCAAAAAGAAAAGAAAAAAAATCCCTACTTTCTATTTTTTGTTTAGTTTAAACCTTTGATTGATCTCTTCTAGAATATTGTATTGAAAGTGAATCTCAATTGCTGTGAAGAATGTCCAAGGAAACTAGAGAAAGCACTGTCGAAACTGACAGGTAATTACAGTCTAGTAGGGACCAAAAATGCATGCACTTATTATTTTTGCTCATCATTTTTTTTTCTTTTCATATTTTAAGCTCATTATATATTCTTTGTGTGCAATAGGGGTGTCTTCACTGGCCATAGATACAGAAGAAAATTTTGTATCAATCTCAGGAACGGTGGATTCAGATACACTCAGAAAACTTATTTATGTAGAGATAGGGAAAAAGGCAAAAGTTGTATCCTGCGACACAAAATCTACAAACAATGTCGAGGAGAAAAAACCTAACACAAAATCTACGGGAGACAAAGATTCAAAAAACAATAGTAACTGTCATCACAAGGGAAAAATGCATAAAGGTTGTTGCTGCTGCTGCTGTCAAGATGGAAATTGTCATAAGAAGATAGAGAATAATCAGCATAAATGCGAAGCTTATGAAGGACCCCCCGAGGTTAAAGATTATGTTTGTAGGGATTATTTTTGCAAAATCCATCCAAGGAATCGAAAAATAATTGATCGGGTGCCTGCAAACGAAAGTAGTGCCAGTATGTTTGGTTATTTTCCAAACTCCACACAAGGGTATTATGGTGAGCCACATTCTTGGTATCCTCTTAGAAGCTCGTATTATCCGAGGTGGTACCCGGAGCAACCACCCACTCGATACGGGTATTATCAACCGCCAAGGAGGCCACAACCGCCTTATGGTTTCTATTAGAGAAGGTCTGTCTGTGCCTACTAACGAAGATTTATTTTTATTTCGTTGAAGCGTATTTTATTCAGATTCTTCCATTTCATTTTCAAAGATTTTGAGTTCCTTCTAAATATTATTATTGCTTATATTAAAGGATAAATTTTTATTTCGTTGAAGCAGTTGGCTTATTTGAGCTTTTCAATGTTCTAACGCTCTGTTTCTTCCTGTTTGAGTCCCATTCTTTTACCAAGATATATTTTGGAACAGTGATTTGATGGGTAAATGTTGGGTTAAAAAAGAGGATAAATTTTGGATTTATCTGTAATATTATTTTATTGAAAAATGTTTGGTGGAAATAAGATAGAAAAATATATTTTGAAAATAATGGAGATTAAACAAGGATTAGTTATGCCCCTATTTGGCTCCAATAAATAATATTACACCTAAACCTAAAAGAAATTTCTTCATTTTTAACTACACATTTTTCAAAAAAATTACTATTTATCTCATTATAATGCTCTTATTTGGCTCTCATTATTTTCAAAATATGTTTTTCTCTTTTTTATTTTTAACCATATTTTTTAATAAAATAATATTACATGCATATTCAAAAAAATTTCTTACTTTTTAACTACACAATTTTCAATAAAATAATATTAAAACTAAATTTAAAAGTTTTCCTTATCTTTAACCACACATCCATTATCAAAATACCATTCTAAAATGCATTTTGAGAAAAAAAAATGAGCATAAAACAAGCTCAATGTGGAATAATGGGGGTAAACGGGCGCATATATATATATGGTCTTGTTTTCCGGGATATAGAAGTTTATCTTGATCACAGTCGCGTTGACTTTCTCGTAGGGATGCTATAGGGATTTTTAAAGACTTTTATATATTATTAAAAGTTTAGGATATAAATCGATAAATTTTAAAGGTCTTAAAAGTCACGAGTACTCAAAATGACAATGACTTTTATATAATTCTTTATATGGTAACTTTTCTCCAAAATAATGTTTAACTACACATTACCCACAATTTTTCCTTGCTTTTCAATCATAACTTCTTTTGAAAATATCATTTTCCAATTGAAAAAATCTAACTCAAACAAGCTTTAGTTGTCAACTTCCAACTGATAAATTCTGCATTTAACAACAAATTAATAAATTCTATTTTTAACATTTTATTTTGTTGCTTAAAATTAATTTCTCATTCATTCTAAGCTGGCCTTATTATCTTTTTTTTGTTTTTTGTTTTTTTTATCGTTTTAACATATAAAAATTACAAAATGACATGCATAATTTTCTTGGTTTCTCTACTATACGAGAAACTCTCGTTGAAGAATAGACGGATATTTTTTTATCAATATATTGAGTAAAAATGGAAGTGAAAAAAAAAATGTTAATATGAAGAGACTCGATACGAAGTTAATATATGGAGAACGTAGATAAAGATATATCGAAAAATTGAGTTTTTTTTATAGTAATCAATGTGAAAAATAATGAAATATTTTATACAAAAAAAAAAAAAAAGCTTATAAAGTGTTACAGTTTAAAAAGGACTTTCTTTTGTTTGGACACTCGATTCTTTTGTGATCGGGTTTGTCACAATCATAATATAGAGAGAAAAATATACTTTAAAAGTAATGGGAATCAAACGAGGGTCTAGTATAAAAAACAGCAAAAATAAATTTAGGTTCTTACAAATTAATCTAAGGGTGTGTTTGATAGGGTGGAAATAAGATGAAAAATAGAATTGGTTTTCCATTTTCCAGCTTTATGCTTGTTTGATTACTTCTATTTTCTTGGCAATTTCAATTCCTCAAGGAGGCCATACGCTCACAATTTCCATGAAAACCTTGAAGAAATTGATTTCCAGGTTTTTATTTTTTATTTTTTGTGTTTTTTGCAATGACACCAAATTTCATGACCAAGTGTAAAAAAAAATTTCACTTTTATAGACAATTTTGATACAAACGAAGGCCAAANTTTATTTTTTGGCAATGGAAACAAATTTTATAACCAATTGTAGAAAAAATTATCACTTTAATGGACAATTTCTATGTAAAACAAAGTCAAACGAACACAAAATTTAAAAATTTTCCAAGTGGAAAATTATACCAATCAAACACACTTAAAATCATTTTCCCTGCAAAACATTTTCTAAGCAAATCTTTCCCTGTAAAACATTTTCTTTCCACCCATTTTCTACCCTTGCAATCAAACGCATCCTAAGATAAACTGATATCAAGTCAACAGTCAAATTTTACAAATGCTACAATTTTTATGCGACAAACTCCGTAACTGAGTACCAAGGACATATCATGCCTTAAAAACAATTAACCTATTACAGGTTCCGAAAAACCAGTTCAATGTCCAAATTCTCAATCCGATTGGCCAAATTGAGCGAGCCAACCCCAATATTGACATGGCATTATTATCCCTCCTAAAATAAAGGAAGAGCATTTTGGGTCCCAGAACAACATTAGATATTTCTTTAAAATTTCAATAAACATAAAAGAAACAGCTTCCAGCCAATTGGTTTGACTCAACATGGCACAGCCTTGCGTTGATGATTGTTGCATGACGAAACCATTACTGCAAGCAAAAATGTTCCGAAAAATAGCATAAATAAAATAAAGAAGTCAAAGAATTCTCTGTTTCAGCTTTATAAGCAAAGGTTGATATTTTTAGAGCTTGTAAGCAATAAAAAAGAGCAAGTGTATGAACCAAGAGACTGCCAAATAGGTGCTTGCATGAAAACCTAATTGGGTCATACCACCATTGCATCTAAAAAATTGCTTCAAAATTTGGTGTCTAGGCAACGAAACTACAGCTTAAACAATGCCAAAATCTGTAGAATTTTATTTAAAACAAAGCAGCTATAAAAGATAAACCAATACATGACTTCAGGTACTATTGCAAGGTTCTTCTAACATTGAATCTTATACAGCAGCAGCAAACCAGACTCGTTGCTAGGTTCTAACAAATATAGGGTTGACAACAGAAATCTGTTTTTGCCATTTCAACATCTTACAATGTGCTAGAATTAAACCACCATGTATTTTCTCACCTTAACCACAAAGAGCAAGAGGTAAAAGAAATGGCAATCTACCACACACATGATAGTTATAGCCTAAATGAAGTTACTAGCTGCCTAGAGAAGAAATTAAACAAGCCTCAACCTACTCAACAACAGAGTTAGATCATAAAAACTTGATTTATCACTAAAATGGCACCCTGTGGATATTGTGCACGCTGCTACATCAAAATCAAAGATGATCTTAAACATTCCAACCATCCTTCATGCAGAACATGAGATCAGTGGCACCCCCTCGAGATAGAATTGAACCATGGACAATTCTAATAACATTTAAAATTTGGTGTGTGTACATGAACTCATCTACTCGTATTATTTTCTTACATATTAGTGTTGCCCATCATGGCCCACAATTCTATCCAAATTCATAGATGAAGCCCTTGTTTGAGCCACATTAAATTTTCATTCTCATTTTCAACCACACATTTTTCAATAAAATAATTTTTTCTATCACATCAATAACTTTTCCTTTTTTTTCAACCACACATTCTCCATCAATCTACTATTCCAAAATACATTTTTTCAAAATAATGTGGCTCAAACACACCCTAAATAATTATGTCCTCACCATTTTGCCGTTGTGTATAAGCATGAAATCTATAGCCATTTTTTCTTACCCAAAAACCAAACAACAAAAAATCAGAAGGTTCGATCATTATTTTACTGTACTTTATTACTTCCAAATATAGCAGTTGACAATTGCTCAAATTAAATGACATGAGGGAGTCAGAGGTAGACAGTGTCAAAAACATCTAAATCCTCCAGCCAGTCAGTGGGCCCACACAAAATCTCACCTTTTGAATAGTAACAGTAGGCTTCAGTAAAAGCTGCTCTGTTTTAATTTGTTGCTTGAAGCATACAAAACTTTTTATGGAACAAAACTTTAAATTGATTGAGACTTACACATTGAGCACCGCCTAATGTGAGGCTTTCAGTAGTGTCCAGAAACTTACCCCTTAAGTTCCATTTCTTGAGACTTGCACCTGAGGCTCACACCTTGAGTATAAGCCTCAGGGTTTATGAGGTGTGCATTCTTTTGTCTTCCCTTTCCTAAGCTTTTTATTACTACCCTCAACATTTTGGGCTCTTTATTTTATGATCTAGATTGTTTTATGGGTTATTTCTTTTCTTTTCTGTGCTTCGTTTGGAAGTTACTTTTAATATCATTAATTTGTTTTCTTATGCATTTTCAAGGTTGTTTACAGTTTATTACGAGCATATTTTTATGTTTATATTCTTTGATTTATTAGACTTGTTTGTCTTGAGGCTTACAGCTTTAAAATGCCCTAAAGCTTACACCTCATCTGTCAAAGTTAAAAGCCTTGGTACCTGATTGAACCTTTTTAAACATTCCCAACTAGAAAAAGGGTAAACTGCCTTTTGTCATATATTAATATGACACAGGTTCTGAAGTAGTGAAACCTACCAGTTTTCTGTAACTCTCAACTTAAATTTCAAATTCAGCTCTACCCATGGCTTTTGTTGAATGAATGGCGTGCCAAGAGTTTCCGACCTGGAGTTGGAATTTTATGGTCATCCTGCAAGCACATAATGTCAGTTCCAAGTTTTAGAGTTTCACCGGAATGGGTCCAAAATCCCAATACGTTGAAAGTTACGGATTTTAAAAATGATACCATATCCTTCAGACAAATTATAAAAGGCAGCATACAAAAGTTTTTCATCATTACATAATATATAATAAATTTTTAAAGAGAAAAAATTAAGAAAAATCTTCTTTTTGAAAATACTTTGAGCACCCAATGCACAGGATACACTTTCAGTGAAATGAAAATACATTTAAAAAAAACTGAAATTATTCAGAATCCTGGATGCGTCTTGTATAGCATGGGTGCCACATATAGATCTGATATTGCCAAGATGCGTTATATATAAATATTTTGCCAGATATATCTGATATTGCCAAG